CACACACACACACACACACACACACACACACACACACACACACACACTCATTCCTACGAGTCTTAAAGTAGCAAAACTAACGAGAGAGACCCCCTGCATGGTACAACCTTTCCACCTCGTTAGTGTTTCCTTCTAGCCACTGTCTGTGTGTGTGTGTGTGTGTGTGTGTGTGTGTGTGTAGCCTTCAGCTCAAGGCCCGTTCAATAACTGTGTCGCTTCATGCCAAGTTATTTCAGTTGACCCTGCTCACACTGTGGACTGGGCTCACCTCAACACTTCTATCAGGAATATGAGTGCAGCTGACTTGGTCCACTGTCAGGAGAATGTTGACATAATATCCCTGACTATTTCAGAAAAAACAGCAAGAGACACAAAAACATTATGAAGTGGACTGATTAAATAAAAGGACTGACATTAATTTAAATTGAACAAAAGCCTTGTCTGACTTCTTGGAAACTGACTTCTGACTCCTAAAACATTTGTTAGCTCTCACTTTTTGTTTGTACTCCTCAGTACATGTTTAGGTCAAAGGTGCACTGGTCAACATCCCATTTGTGAAAAAACGACAGAACTTTCCTTTAAGACCCGGGACAGTAAACTCAAGCTGATAGTTGATTGAAAAACCAAGGGCACTGATATGCTTCAATAACAGCCTCCTTTATTTGCTGGTGTGATGATGGTGAGGAGCACTGTTTATCTAGACTGTGAAGATCACTGTCATACTCATTTATTGAGCCCTTGTGCCCCGTTTATCTCTTTTAAGGAGGTCAGGTGGATGGACAGGTCAAACACCCACACAGGATTTCACCAGGAGACTGCTGTACATCTTCTGTGTGAAACCAAATCAACAGTGTTGAACCTTACTTTTGTTATAAAAACGTATTTACTTAATGAACACTGCGTATGCAAGTTACTTAACAGGTATACTTATTTGACATTACAATCGTAATAATTTTAACCCAAAGGAGTATCTTACCCTAAACCTAAAAACTAAATAAACCTAAAGGACCTACATTTGGAAATTTATTTTGAAAGGAAACTGTACGCATCTAACAAGCGGAAAACCTGTCAACACTGAAGTTTATTTTGAGAAGACACTATGCAGAGCACTTAATCTTTCTAATGGAACACCCCTTTCAATCTATTTCTCAAGTCAGTTTTGACCTGAAAAAAATACATCTCATGGAAAGCGCAATGCAGCATGAGTGTTGATGATCAAGAGCGACGTAAATACGTTTATCAGCGTAAACAATTATGCCCCCTGGCTTCCCCAAATGGGCATCAATAAAAATGCATACAGTTTAGTAGAATTGAACTTGACTAATCTCCACGGGCTTCCGTACAATGATCTGTCCAAGCATCTTTTGTATTAAAAATAGATGAAAGAAATTGCATCAACACTTTTGCTGCATCCCTCTGTAACCATGACACAGACCAGATGTTTCCAGTTGCTGTTTAATGAAGGTTGCCACCTCAGCCACATCGGTTTTATTCTTTCAATGCCAGAGCTGCTTCTTGCTTAAAATCTTTTCAAAGGTGCATTTGCTCAGTACAATCCCACGGGAAACAGCAAGCAATTGAAGTATTTAATCTGTTGTAAAGCCACGTTTAAAGTAGTCTTTAATGTACTCACAATCCATTTATATGTCAAATGTAGGGTAACCTATGAAAAGCTGCCTCTACGACTGTTGTGTTAAAGTATCTCATAATTTCGACTCTTTATCTCATAGGTTACATCATGAAACGCTTAAGGCATTTTCAGAAAACAACAGAGCAAAATGATGCTGTGATTTGCCCTGTTTGCTTATTATTGTGTCAAATTATATATTTCAATGGTCAAAGATTAATATGAGGCTATCCTTTTTCATGACCACCAGATAATAGCTTATGATTACAACATATATATTCAGATAACTGGCCAAAACGACCAAGGCCATCCTGTTTCCACATAGGCCTGGTTACTTATAGCGTGCTCCTGTTTTTGTAGACAAATATTTTTCATTTGCTGTCTTTGATGCAATTTCTATCAGTATCAGTGATTGCTCTGCTCACCTTTGTAGCTGTTCCCTCAAAGTGTCTGAATGCAGCCACTGGGGGGTGTTCCTGTAGAGCATGACAGGAACACCTGCGCAGAACTTTGGTTTACATTGAACAGAAACTCCCAATAGCTACTGACTTTGCCCCCCCTTTGCCCAGTAACTTTATTGTCCTGTTCCTGTCAGTCAAATCAGTTGCTGTGCATTAAGTTCTAAGTATGATTTAACTCACTGTTGATTCTTTAGTCATTTTACCATTATTTGTGACTTTGTGAATCCAGTGGGGCAAATTAAGCTAACTAATTGCTTTGTGTTACATTAACATAGGCAATTTGTACCAATTTGATCTTTACAAAGCTAGCTGGCTTGCTAGCTTAACAAAGCTAGATAGCTTGCAAACAATTCAACATCCCTTGATGCTAATAATGTAATGATGCTTGTAGCAAAACGTTTAGTGGAACGTAGAACTGTCATATTAATTCCTTTTTTTAACTAGCATGATAGGAATTGAAGAGCTCAGATACTGGAGACAAATCTCGGGTATGCCTGTCCGTTTTGACGTTGGCAAAGTGGCTATACAGATATTTACAATATCGAAATATGTGTGCTTGAATTGCCACTATGAACATCCACATGTCCTCTATAGCATATATACAAGAAAACTATTGTCTCTTTCAGAAAATACGAATAAAGCTCATTTTGGTTTACTGATGTCTGCTGTCATTTTTAGTGTGTCTTTACGATTGATGAGGTGCACGGTAATAAGTCTGTATATAAGAAGTGGACGTAGTCATTGTGACTTCACCCATTGGTTGTTTTGAAGCCTCGAGTTCGGTAATTTTGCCGTCGCCATCTTGGATTACGGCCGTCGCCATGAAGTTTTTTTTGCAACCAATGAATGGAAGTGACCATATTTTGGAATGCGGAGGAGTAACGCAGACACGCCAAATAGGCACTGGTAGAGACCTGTCTGTCATAGCATACCCTGCTTTATGGTCTATTTGTCTCTAAATGGACCATCATTTACTAAATGAACATCATGCTGTATTGAAGAAGACTTGAAACTAGAGATTGAGACCATAAACTCATGTTTACAATGTTTACTGAGGTAATAAATCAAGAGAGAAGTAGAGTAATTTTCTCATAGACTTCTATACAATCAGACTTCTTTTAACAATCAGAGGAGACGCCCCCTGCTGGTCAGTAAATATAATGCATTGGCTTCACATGGCAGAACCAGAGGTTGCTGCCTGGTAATAACTTAATTAACAGTCAGAACCAGCTGGGCATTGTGAAAGTAGAGAAGAAAAAAAATGTGGGCGTTCCTCAGAGCATGACAGGAACGCCCTGTCCACAGCTGCCACCAGAACCTGGCTCAAAAAAAATGGTCAGTTGTAGGCTTTTACTTTGAAGGCAGATCGTGCGCCTTCCTGTAATTTTGCGCATTAACGGTCCTCATTGACGCGTCAGGCTGGGACCCACCGGATTGATCTGTTTCCATATGACCGGGCTTTCATTCACAGGGGGTCCCTACACATCCTGCAGTCTCTCTGTGGAACAAGTACTGGACCTTGACAGAGAGACAAAGAAAATAAATAAAAAAGAAAAGAGAGAGAGACAGAGAGAGAGAGAGAGAGAGGGATAGTGAGACAGAGAGAGAGAGCGAGAGAGTGAGAGAGAGAGGGGGGGGAGACAGAGAGAGAGAGAGGGAGAGTGAGAGCGAGAGAGACAGACAGAGAGAGGGAGAGTGAGAAAGAGAGAGAGGGAGAGAGCGAGAGAGAGGGGCCAAATGAAAGAGAGTTATCAGCGGCAGAAGGAGAGGGGAGCGCAGACACAGGGGGAGGATTTTTTAAATGTCCTTTTTATGCTTCTCGGATCATAAACGCGTGAGGACTTTATAAACATGCACCTACTGGGAATATCTCTTTTACTGGCATATCTTCTCTACACTAACCTCGCCAGCGACTTCAGCCACAGCGACTACGATGATTACTACGAGCAGGAGCAGATGGACGAGCCGGTAAGTCTGAGAGCATGGAGTGAAGTGGAGCTCGCTGCCTCTGCCTGTCTGAACGCTCACAGCACCAACATGTGAGGGACCACCAGGGTCCATCATGTGGCTTCAGAAAGGTTCGGGACCACATAGTGTAAAAGAAGTGACCATAACGCAGGTTGTTGTTGGAGTAATGCAATATGAGGGACAGCTGATTACTGTCTGGTAGCGGCATTGAGGGACTCTTGATGGAGGTATTTCATGTTGTACAGGTCTTTCTCTTAGATAGTGTGTGTGTGTGTGCATCTCAATGGGCTGCCAGGGATCTGGTATGAAGTCCATCACAGCAAGGTGAAGTAAAAGTGAAGCTGTGGGTGAAGGAGAGCCCTTTATCCCGTTACAGAGGACTGATGAGGGATGTTCTGCAGACAGTTTTCACCTTGCTGTTTAACCCACCTAACTTAACCCACCTTTACAGACTGCATTCAATTCTAAAATCCAGACATTCACTGATTACTTTGTTAAACGTATTGAAGTTCAGTTCACAGGGAATGTGAAGCTGTTATCAACGGAGCGTGTGCTCTATGGAGGTGTGTGTCTTAAACAGGTGCCCCATCCTTATAGAAGTGCACTAAATCACTGCACTACACCTACAGACACACACCTGTGTGTCATCAGTGTGTAAACTCTGCAGCTGCTGGGAATACACCATTTGTACCATCCACATGGTCTAGACCTGCTCCATAAGAAAAGTGCCCTGATGTAACTTCTGTTATGATTTGCAGCAATACAAATACAATGTTTTACCAAAAAATGTCCCTTTATCCCGAGTTGACTTTATCTGTAGCCTACAATCTGCCTGTTGACCCAGATAATGCAGACGAATAACCCACATGACCTGTGGAAGGAAATTTACATTAACCAAATGGCGCTAAATGGCTAAAACATGGCTATGCTATTTACAGGCTTTTATGGAATGGTTATTTTCCATCTCTCAAGTCTTATAATACCAGTTGGATTGATACACCATTGAAACTACTTTTCTTTAATGTCATGTCAGCACAGCAGATTTGCTATAGAATGAGAGAGGAAGGGAAACGGGGGGGGTTAGGAAAGAGCGTTTTCAAATTAGCCAGAGAAAAGAGCCAATGAAGGCAGGTGACAGGGGTCAAGTGTGTGTGTGTGTGTGTGTGTGTGTGTGTGTGTGTGTGTGTGTGTTTGCGTTTGTGCTGGGGGGGGAGAATAAGTGTTAAGCAGTAACATGCAGCCATTTGATCACAGTAAACTCTTAATTGGGATGATGAGTTTTTTTTCCCTCAGCTCCTGTCCTCCACCTTTAAAGCCCTCACTGTGAGGAGTTCAAGTAACAAGGGATAGCAGCTTTGGAGATAATGCAGTGGTAGGAATGAGGCTTTCAAAAAACGTTTAATTGGCTTACCACACTTGAATTGATGGTTTCATGCTGAAAATGAGTGGTTCAGTCAGTTTTCTTCAGCTCAGTACAGAAAAGCTCTCAGCCATCTCTAGCCTTCTGCTCAGCCTTCCTTTCGGATTGATGATCCAATTAAAAGCAGGAATTGACAAGTGATGCTTGACAGCACATGATTTAGCATACTAGCCATTTTGTTGCTGCTAAATATCTTCTCTGTACTATTTAAGGTTAATGATCTAGAGTTTAATGTCCCTCTTTCGTTATTGGCTTTGTTTATGATTTAATTGAATGGGTTGAAGACAGTTTTGTTTGTTGAAACAGACAAGGTTTAAAGGGGAACAACACCAATTTTACACATCAGTCTGTTTCCAGGTGTTTGGAAGTGTGATTGCATTTACACAAAGTAGTATAAAGCCTTTAGTGGCTCCAGAGGGAGCTGTGTGAAGTCTGATACATGTCTTCAAGTGATGTCACTTGAGTCAGCGTTGTTTTGGGGTTGAGGCTACAAGTTCTAAAGGTAAAGAAACATGGAGCTAATCACTGCTGCAGGCTAGAGGCTCCAGGCTACATTAGCTGCTACCACTGACTATAAGAAGTGGACGTAGTCATCGTGATGTCACCATTTGGTTTGTGGACTGACGTTTTGAAGACTTGAGTTTGCCGATTTTGCCGTCGCCATCTTGGATTATGGCTGTCACCATGTTGTTGTTTTTTGCAACCTATGAACGGAAGTTACCATATTTGGAATGCGGAGGAGTAACGTAGAGACGCCGTATAGGTCTCTGGTAAAGAAAGACCTGTCAATCACAGTAAGCCCGCCCTAAAGCATCCCCTGCTATATGGTCTATTTGACTCTAAATGGACCATAATTTACTAAATGAACATCATGCTGTATTGAAGAAGACTTGAATCTAGAGATTGAGACCATAAACTCATGTTTACAATGTTTACTGAGGTAATAAATCAAGAGAGAAGTAGAGTCATTTTCTCATAGACTTCTATACAACCAGAGGAGTCGCCCCCTGCTGGTCAGTAGAGCGAATGCAAGTTTTAAGACACTTCTGCATTGGCCTCACTTGGCAGAACTGGAGGTTGCTGCCTGGCTGCTTCTAGCATATAACACACCCGCATCTCAGACTCAACTGCCAGTAGTTAAGTTGCATTGTGGGTAATGTAGGCCACTAGGGGTTGATAGTATGAATAAGCTGCAGTGAACTCTGAGAGGAGCTGGCAGGAGCTCTGTGTGTGGCTGCCCTGTCATTGAAATGTGTCGACAGTAGACACAGCTTGTAGCTAACGAGGATTTTCCTTCTTAATGAGTATGAATATTGACACATTTTACTTGTATGATACTCATGCTCGGAAACTAATAATAGTTTCTTAGCATAATATCTGCACTGGATAATCCTTTCATTCGAGTTTTCAGCTCAACTCTACTAACAGCCTTTCAAAACCTTTATATTGTGTAATGGATATTACAGCCTCTAGGGGCTGCTTGTGTCAAATGTTTATTTGCAAAATGAATCAGGGCTACACTGGGTGTTTATGTGCAGTTTACAATCCTCAAGAAATCACAGTAGCTTGACTCCAAAAATGTCTGTATGAGGTCAGGCTTGGAAGGACCCATATTCGTGTTGGCACTGAAGGTACTGTATGCATTATGTTACACATCAGTACATACAATACACTACAGATCTGCATGGTTCAGCCTAGATCCTCCTTGACTCCTTTGACTTAGTACACTTGGCTTGTTATGGAGGAAAAACAACCTCCCCAATGAAACTAGTTCAGTGCCATTTGTCTTCATAACGTCCTTGGTTGCTCTTTGTCTTTTACCTTTTCCTCTATGTTTTTATTGGCTTTCCATGTCTAGTTTTCCTGTTGCGCTGCGGGATCTGTTCCAGAACATTTTTTGGCTCATTGCTTTGGGGTTTCTGAGAGTAAGCCTTATCGACCGAACGATCTCGCAACAAATGGTATTTTGAAATGTTAGTTGGAAATAATAGTACTTTCTGGAAATTCCTGCCTCCAGTACCAGATGACTGGGTATTTACCACACATGGCAATACAATGAATGCCTAAAACTTTAGTCAAACACGACAAAGTACTTAAGTACTAAAGAGGACTGGCACTGGTAAGGCATCTGCAAAATCTTCACTGCCAACGTTTTTCATTTATTTTCATTGTCCACACCGGATACTACAGCAATGTTGAAGTTATAGTTTTGTTTAGGCAAATCACATGGTACAAAGTCAGGTAAAGATTGTGCTTGGCAAAACATTGAAAAGTCAATGTTGACTTGAAGCAGAAGACAGAACACACAAACCATGAACGTGTTTTGTACACTTAACCATTCACCCCAACATCCTCTGTAGGGTTCAACTACAACCTGCATTGGGATCAAATGTAGCCTCTTAATCATATTGGGACATCATTTGTAGGAGTCAACGTGTTATATTGTTGTGTTTTAACTTGCAGTAATATATTTTTGACCAGGTGGTGGCAGCCAACAAGCAATAAACACAACATTGCCTTATTAACCCATTATAACAGCAAACAGCTGCCCACTATACACCAACCTGTTCTTACTGCCAACTCGTCAAATGTAAACCCATCCACCCACATTAGCCGCTCAGAGCAACTGACAAAGTATAAAGTGTGCGATCGTCTGCTTAGGGCGGGTGGGAGTGCTGATGGATGGGTCAAACAAACACAGGACTTTCACCCAGGAAACCGCTGTTCTTGCGCGCAAGCACGGGTCTGTGGCAAGCATGAGTTCGACCTTGACCTTTCCTATGTGCATTTGGAGTCGTGTTGCGAGCCACCTGGTGTTTGTGAGTCTAATAGTCCCTCTCTTTGAACTCTGTTTTGGTCTCTAACAAGTCCTGGGGGAAATGTTTAACTGCTAAATGCTCCTTTATTATTTATAGTCACTACATTCGTTTGGTCTTCTGTGGAGGACGGATAGCTGACAGTGGCATTATACAAGCTTTGTTGCTGGAAACAGTGGCCTGCTGCAGGTATAGGGTTGATGAGAGTGGTGAAACTGAACCAAACAGTTAATCTGTCAGCAGAACTACCAAACAATGAGCTGAAAGATAGAACTGAGAGGAAGTGTAGCGTAAGATGATAGTTCTGTGTGGCTTTTTTCACAAACACATTGTCTGATGTATTGTTCATATGAAATATTGATTAGAGTAGCTTTGATTTTCCTCCACAATGTATGATCACACGTAAATGAATTGTACATGAATGTATTTCCTGCTGAGCTCATTTAAAAACCATCTTGGTACTCTTGTTTATACACATACAGACTGAGTGTTAGACTTTCCATCTGAGTGCACAGAAACAGCGTGTTATGTTTCAGGAATGAACCGTTATAGTATACAATGTACTCAGGCCAAGCTGGGATGAAAAACCTCCCTCCAAATCCAATACAACCGTTATGTTTGAGATTTAATGATGGTTTAAAGTGATGCCGACCTTCATGTAATCTGTCGATGACCCTTAACTCTAGACAGATGGATATGGTTAAATACCCGTCACGATGCCAGCATATCGCTCTCGCTCTCTGTGGGCTGATGTTGCTCCATCGCTCTTACTTCATCATGATGAAGATGACTAGGAATAGAGCAACTCTCTCTCTCTCTCTCTCTCTCTTTGGCCTTTATCCTGACCCAGTCAGCACATAATCTCTCATCTCAGTTTCTATTTATTCTCTACCCAACTGCTTCCCCCCTGTCTCTCTCTCTCTCTCTCTCTCTCTCTCTCTCTCTCTCTCTCTCTCTCTCTCTCTCTCTCTCTCCCCCTTTCTGTCTATATCTCTCGCCCATATTTCACAACCCACTGGAGTCTGCAGAAGAATGTAGTGTGTAATTAGCAATCATTCCAACGGAATTTTCTGTGATTTCTCTGTGGACCGTCCAGCTCAGTCTCACTGTTCTGCCTGAGTGTTGAGATATATGTCCATCTGCTCTAAATATCGACCATGTTAACTATAAATATCACAAAGTCCCTCCAGATTCAAAAAAGGGGAGACACAGTGAGCTTCTGTGGAGCATCTGTTTGCTCTCCTTATTGTTGCTGGTTCAAAAGAAAATCTAACAGATCCAGGTAGCTATTCAAAAAGCCTTTAAAAAGATGGACATGTATGGTGAGAGGTAAAGGCTTTGGTTTGGGCAGTTTTAATGAAATATAAAGAATGTCAGAGAAAGAAATAAACAGAACGTTGATACAGAAAGTTGACACTTTCTAGAATACGCTCATGTTGGTATCCAGTGTCACATTTAAAGGATGAGCATCTTCACCACCCAATATAAACACAACATTGACACATTATCACTTTAAGTT